CACCAACAGTGGACAGGGTTCCAGTTTCTTCAAATCTGGGTAATAGTAGTTATCTTTTGTTTTTGTTTTTTGTAATAACCATTGTAACAGGTGTGAGGTAATATCTCATGGTTTTTTATTTGAATTTCCCTGATTTGTGAAATTGAGCATTTTTTTTATATATCTGTTGGCCATTTGTATGTTTAGAGAAACATCTGTTCAGTCCTTTGCCCATTTTTTAATTGGGTTATTTTATTGCAGTTGAGTTGTAGGAGTTCCTTATATATTGTGGATATTAACCCCTTATCATATGTATGGTTTACAAATATATTCTCCTATTCCAGGGGTTATCTCTTTACTCTGTTGATTATTATTATTTGGGGGGGGTTGATTAATTCTTTTTTTTTTTTTAATTTCCTTTTCTGTGCAGATTTTTGTAATCCCAATTTGGATACAATCCCAGTTTTCTATTTTTGCCTTTGTTGCCTGTGCTTTTAGGGTCATAGCCAAAAATCATCACCCAGACCAAAGTTATGTAGTCTTTCCCCTATGTTTACTTCTAGTAGTTTTACAGTTTCAGGTCTTACATGTAAGTCTTTAATCCGTTTTGAGTTGATTTTGTATATGGTGTGAGATAAGCATCTCATTTCATTCTTCTGCATGTTCATATCCAGATTTCCCAACGCCATTTATTGAAGAGACCGTTCTTTACCCCATTGTGTGTTCTTGGTACCTTTGTCAAAAAGCAATTGATGGTAAATGTGTGGGTTTATTCCTGGGCTATCTGTTCTTTTCCATTGGGCTATGTGTATGTTTTTATGCCAGTATCCTGCTATTTTTATTACTATAGATTTGTAGTATATTTTTAAGTCAGAAAGTGTGATGCCTCCAGCCTTGTTCATTTTCCTCAAAATTGCTTTGGCTATTTAGGGTCTTAGGTGGTTCCATACAAATTTTAGGATTTTTATTCTATTTCTATGAAAAATGTCATTGGGATGATTTTGATAGGGATTGCATTGACTCTGTAGATTGCATTGAGTGTATGGATACCTTAACAATATTCTTTTAATCCATGGAATATCTTTTCCTTTTATTTGTGCCTCCTTTAATTTCTTTCATCAATGTTATATAGTTTTTGGTGTACAGATCTTACACTCCTTGGTTAAATTTATTCATAAGTATTTTTTTTAACTATCATAAAATTGTCTTCTTGATTTCTTTTCCCATAGTTCATTGTTAATGTATAGAAACTACTGATTTTATAAGTTGATTTTATATCATGCTATAACTATATTAAATTTGTTTATTCTAATAGTTTTTTCATGGATATGTTAGGGGTTTCTAGATATAATGTCATATTATCTGCAAACAGGGACAATTTAACTTCTTCCTTTCCAATTTAGATGCCTTTTTTTTCTTTCTTTTGCCTAATTGCTGTGGTTAGGACTTTGAGTGCTATGCTGAATAGAAGGGTTAAGAGGGGGACATCCTCATCCCTTTCCTGATCTTAGAGGAAAAGCTTTTAGTTTTTACCTACTGAGTATGATGTTAGCCATGGGCTTTTCATATATGGCCTTTATTGTGTTGAGGTACTTTCCTTCTAAGCCTAATTTTTGAGAGTTTTTATCATGAAAAGATCTTGAACTTTATCAAATGCTTCTTCTGTATCGGTTAAGATAATCATATGTTTTTTTCATTCTGTTAATGTGGTGTATAATGTTTATTATTTGCATATGTTGAACCATCCTTGGATCCCAGGGGTAAATTCCACTTGATCATGGTGAATGATCCTTTTAATGTGCATTATGCACAACTGAATATGTTGAATTCCATTTGTTAGTATTTTGTTGAGGATTTTTGCATTTGTGTTCATCAGGGTTATTGGCCTGCAATTTTCCTTTCTTGTGGTCTGTTTGTCTGGCTTTGGTATTAGGGTGATGTTGGCTTCATAAAATGTGTTTGGAAGTATTTCTTCCTCAGTTTTTTGGAAGAATTTGGGAAGGATTGATTTTTCTTGTTTAAACGTTTTGTAGAATTCAGCCTTGAAGCCATCTGGTCCTGGGCTTTTTTTTTTAATAGGGAGACTTTTTTATAACTGAGTAAGTCTTTTTTGTTATTGGTTTGTTCAGATTTTCTATATCTTTGTGATTCAGTAGGTTGTATGTGTCTAGGAATTTATTCGTTTCTTCTTCAAATTTGTTGTCATATAGTTGTTCATTGTAGTCTCTTATGATCCTTTGTATTTCTGTGGTACCAGTTATAATGCCACCTTTTTCATTTCTGATTTTATTTATTGTCTTCTCTTTTTTTTACTAGTTACTCTAGCTAAAGGTTTGTTGATTTTTATGTTTTCAACAAATTTCATTGATTTTTTAATATTGTTTCTCTGGTTGCTATTTCGTTTATTTCTGCTCTGATCTTTATTTTAGCCTTCCTTCTGCTACTTTTGTTTTTAGTTCTTATTTTTATAGTTCCTTGAGGTATGATGTTAGGCTATTTATTTGAGACCTGTCTTCTTTTTTGATGTAGGTGTTTATTTCTATACACTTCTCTCTTTCAACCACTTTTGCTGCATCTCGTATGTTTTGGTGTGTTGTGTTTCCATTTTCATTTGTCTCAAGATATTTTTTAATTACCCTTTTAATGTTTACATTGACCCATTGGTGTTTTGGGAGCATGTTGCTTCATTTCCATGTACTCTGCGTTTTCTAAAATTCCTCATTATCGATTGCTAGTGTGATACCGTAGTGGTTGGAAATGATACTTGATATGGATTTCAGTCTTTTTAAATTTATTAAGATTTGTTTTGTGGTCTTATATATGGACTCTCCTGGGGAATGTTCATGTGTGCTCAAGAAGAATGTGTACAGTCAGCCCTCCTTATCCACAGGTTCCACATGCACAGCTTCAGCAAACTGCAGGCCTAAAATATTTGGAAAAAAAAATCAATAAAAAATCATACAACAATAAAAATAATACAAACAAAAACAATATAGTATAACAGCTATTTATATAACATTTACTTTGTTTTAGGTATTATAAGTAATCTAGAGATAATTTAAAGTATATAGGAGGGGATATGTGTACATTATGTGCAAATACTATACCATTTTATATAAGGAATGTGAGCATCCATGAATATTGTTATCCTTGGGGGTTCCTGGAACTAGGCATCGGCCTGGTGTCTAGATCCACTGGGGCTTACCTGTAGCCTGTGTTTGCTGGTGCCGGTCTGGAGGCTGGGTGTATAGTTGCTGGTCTAGAGTTTAGGTCCATGAGGGCCTGGATTCTGGGCCTAGCAGTGTGGGACCTGGGCACACTGGGCAGGCCTGGAGCCTGTGTCTGTGGGTGCCTGGCTAGTTTGTGAGCTCAGGGGTGCCATCCTGGTGCTGGGGGCGGTCTGGAGGCCAGGGACTGGCCTGACCCTTGTGTGGCCCTGGACCCTGGGTCTCGTGGGGGCTGGCATGGCATTGGAGTGGACCTGAAACCCCCCACTCTGGGGCTTGACTGGCAACTGAGTCTGCTAGGCAGACCTAGAACCTGGAGCTGTGGGATCTAGCCTGGCGCTGGGGTGGGCCTAGAGGCTCAGTCCCCTACTTATTTTCTTGATGTTAGTTTTTGGTGGGGAGAAATTTTAGATTTTGATAAAGCCTTTTTTAGGATTTGTACCCTTAGTGTCCACCTCAAGAAATCTCTGCCTATCCCAAGGTCACAAAGATATTCTCTAGTAGTAATAGAAATCTTTTAAGTTGCTTTTATGTTTATGTTATATCGTATTCAGCAAAATTGCTTTTAGAAGTAGTTGACTCCAGCATTTTGTTATTGTTCTCCAAAGAGGATCTAATTTTTATGCTAGGTACCGGTAGGTATTGCAGTCTGGGAGTACCTTCATCTTGTGTCAAGGATTGAGAGTATTTGAAGCCAGGCTGCAGTCCCTATGAAGGTCAGTCTCCTTCAGGTTCATTCTTAGAAAGTCACGTCCTAATCTAATGCCTCTCATTTCTCGCCCTGAATTCCAGCGCTGTTCTTCATAGCCCCAAGAATTTAAGCCAAGCATTCAAGGTCACACAGTTAGTGGTAGAGCTTGGATTTCAACCTAGGCAGTTGACTTCAGATCCTGGGTTATTAATAATAACCTTCCATGTTACCCACACCATGGAGTATGGGTTTCATTTATTTTGTTTCCCATTATACACCTATACCTAGCATGATACATGGTAGGTGTTCAGAAAATATTCATTAAATATAAGAGTAATCTTGTCTTAGTCCATTTGGGCTAGTATAACAAAATGCCATAGACTATTTGGCTTCAAAATAGCAGAAATCTATTGCTCACAGTTCTGGAGGTCAAGAAGTTCAAAATTAAGGTGCCAGCAGATTCAGTGTCTGGTGAGGACCCCTTTCCTGGTTCGTAGATGGCCTCTTTTCTTTGTGTCCTCACATGGTGGAAGGCATGAGGGATCTCTCTGGGGCCTCCTTTATAAGGGCACTTATCCTATTCTAATCACCTCTCTAAATCCCTACTTCTAAGTGCCATCACCTTGGGTGTTAGGATTTAACGTATGAATTTGAGGGAATATAAATATTTAGTCCATTGCAAATCTGTTCCCCTTAGCAATGTTATTAGTGGCAGTTACTTCCAATCTGATTTGGTTTATAGTTGTGATATGATTTTACATACTGTTTTGTTGCTTTGCTGACCATACTTATTTGTTTTGTGTTGTTTCATAATTAGTGTTTTGATGGGAATTGGAAAAGCTACTGGCAAAACTTGCATCAACAACTTACTGATCTTTGTTTTGTGGTTGGTATTTTGTTCATATTAGAAGCTCCGTAGATGTTGAGTCAATTAAAAATGCAGGAATAAACAACTTCTCAAGTATTTTAAATGTTTATATAGTCATCTTTAAAGCTTGAGTAGAAAATTAAGTAATTGTCTAAAATTTACATGTTGTTAGATAATCTTATTTTCTTTTTTAAAAAAGTCTTCACTCCTTCCATAGGGTTGAATTTCAAGAAGAATGGATGTGTTGGGGTTCAGAAAATTTACGATTCTTCTCTGGAAGAATTTTATTTTAAAGGTAAGTTAAGCTGTAGGATTGTTATAACAGCTCAGAGGTCACGAGGGGAAAAACTTCAACAGCCTGATCAGTGCATTTCAATTTATACTGTTTTACTTTTCTTAGTTCCAGGGCTGGGGTTATCTTTTCCAAATATAGAGTCCTCACTGAATGAAATAATAGGAGAATATTACACAAGAAGGAGAAAAACGACAGTCCAACAAACTGCTGTATTACAGAGTGAAGCTGTGCCTTTTGACAATCTATATATTCTTTTATGGAGTATTTATTAACTTACTATAAAAGAATTAGCCATTTGCAAAGTTTATGACCTCTTAGGACAATTGACATAATCTTTTTTTCTTCTTCTTCTAGAGGCGGCGATTGATTGCTTTAGTTGTGGAAGTTATCCTAACCTTTATATTTGGTGCTACGCTTTTGGCAACACGCCACTTTATGGTTATAAAGAAGTTTGGACCTTACAACTATGTGGCTCGCTCCATAAACCGCGTGCCTTTATACATCAGTGCTCCTACCACCATTCCTTATCCTTGGGAATTGGCTTATGTGCCTTCCAAAAGTACTGTGGTACGGGATATCGTTGAAAATGTGAAACAGGGTTTAAACTCCAAGATGAAAGGTTAGAAATTAAAGTTTTCTGAAAAAACATACAGTATTTTTAAATTGATTTAGTGAAGACACACTTTTAACCTTATTAACTTGTTCTTATCTCCCAAGTAAAACATGGTAGGATAACCTCATAACAGGCATTAACTTCCTAAGTATGATGTTATGGACTTGTTAAACTTGAGAGTTAAATTCATATAAAATGTTTTCTCAGTAGAGCCTAGAACAAATAGTAATATTTAAGAATTAGATGACCAATTTATATTATTCTAAGTTATTTTCCAGTTTCATGATACTACGTCTTCCTTGAATCTGGTTGTGCTTCTTAAACCTGGGTCAGTATAACTCCAGGGGTGTATGATCATGTGCCATGGGTGTACAAGGGCACAGGATAAGCGTGAGCCTTCATTCTGGATGCACACTCAGTGGTCAGCTCTTTAAAACATGTTTTATATAACAATGTTGCACAAGTCATATATGAATGCTTTAGAGAAGACTCAAGCTACGTAGAATTTCTTTAAAAGTTCCTAGTCCCTCTTCATCTTCACATTCTCAGATCAATTTCTTTCCTCTTTCTCCCAGAGGTAAACACTGTCAGAAGTTTGGTGGGCATCTCCCTAGTGTCTTCCTTCCTTTACACACACACACACACACACACACACACACACACACACACACACTCTCACTCTCTCTCTCTCTCTCTCTCTCTCTCTTTTATTCAGTCATGTATTTTTTCAGTCTTTTTTCCCTCTTAAGGGAATTGAGTCCTTGAGAGCAGATGCCATCTCAAAATATTTCTTTTGGCCGGGCGCGGTGGCTCACGCCTGTAATCCTAGC